GGCGGGGTACACCAGATATGGGCTTCACACATTGTACCTATGTGGGGAATCAAACACGGGTCATCGGCATGACGACCGAACGCTTCAACTACTAGGCTACCCCACCACCCCCGGTTCATGAAAAGAGCCACAGTCCTCCAACGTTTCCCACTTTGGTGACCCACGCCTACGAGTATGGTGCTGACAAACCTTGAAACATGATCATAGGTTCCTGGCGTGCCCAAGGGACGCAACTCGGCACGTTGAATTGCAACGCCTGAGTCACCCTCCCAATCTCACCATTTGAGGCTGTAAGGTACTGTTCCGTAGCTGGTACCAATTCCACAGAGATGTTTCAGCACTACGATAGTCCTAAGTCTGTACTGATCATGAACTCTGGGACTTAGCTAAACCCGTTTGTGGAAGCGGGCCCTGGTCATACAAGACGTGTTTTCGGACTCTCATTGGAGAGAACCTGTCAAACCTCGTGATGGATGTATATAAAATCAGCGTATAAGATCCCCCCCATATCTCGCCTCAACACACCAGTGACTGTTTACACAAGGAAAATGTATCAATCAATGAAAATAACACAGAAGTCAGGTCATGAACCGTGGTACCAGCTATTAAACATGCTGCAGGCGATCTGAACCGCCAGACTGCGCCTTGTAAAGTTAGACATAAAACCTGAAGCCCCAGAATTGATCTTCAAGTGTTTATCGGTTGCGTTCTTCGGGGAACAATTCCAGAACCATCAGCGTCCATATTTCACAGGAAAGAGTGTCGACTTGATTGATTAAATTGGGTGTATTTCATCCGGGGCCTTGGTCCGTCCTACGAAGACATCTTCGCTTTACGGTTGTCCAGTAGTGAGTGAGTGAGTTTGGTTTTACGCCGCTTTTTGCAATATTCCCGCAATATCATGGCGGGGGACACCACAAATGGGCTTCACACATTGTGCCCATGTGGGGAATCGAACCCGGGTTTTCGGCGTGACGAGCGAACGCTTTAACCACTCGGCTACCCCACCGCACGAATGATGACACATAAGCAAGGTTTACATTTTCCAGAAACCCATACCTGTTTGAAGTTGTTAACCTGGGGTCATGGCCTCTGTTACGTGTTGTATATATAACGCGAGCTCCACACATTGCCTGCGGAAGGCAACTCTGCACGACATACTCTCATTTAGACTTGGTCGTAATTGCAGTTTGTCAGGCTTCATATCGGATTTCCCCTATTGTAATTAGTTCATCAAAAAGTTCATAATGTCGAAAGCAAAAAAAACAAGAGTCATCAGAAGATGACATATCCCCCCAGCCCCCACATCTTTGAAAGAACAAATCATCTGACAGTTACTTAAAGTCCAGCTTGATTTTAGAGTGCAAATCGTTTCCATGGAAATCATGAAAAAAATAAATGACAAAAATCTGCAAATAGCAAAAGGCACCACTTTGGGATCTGCCTCACATATCTGCCAAGTTTTGCTGAAAGATATTAAGAAGTTTTCGCGTTGTGCTCCGGAAACAAAACCCATCCCTTCCTTTTTGAGACTAAGTTCGAATCATTTCCATGGAAACCGAGAAAATAATAAATCACAAATATCTGCAAATAGCAAAAGGCATCACTTCAATATCTGCCTCACATATCTGCCAAGTTTTGCTGAAAGATATAGAGAGGTTTTTGAGTTGTGCTCCGGAAACGAAGCCCACCCCTCACTTTTTGGATTAAGTCCGAATCGTTTCCATGGAAACCGGGAAAAATAAAAATGCCAAAAATCTGCAAATAGCAAAAGGCACAACTTTAGGATCTGTTTGATATATCTATCAAGTTTTGTTGAAAAATATTATACGGTTTTTGAGTTGTGCTCCGGAAACGAAGCAATCCTTACTTTTTGATACTAAGTCCAAAATGTTTCCATGGAAACCAAGAAAAATAAAAATGCCAAAAATCGGCAAATAGCAAAAGGCACCACTTAAGGTTCTGTTTCATACATCTACCAAGTTTTGTTGAAAAATATTGAACGGTTCTTGAGTTATGCTCCGGAAACGAAGCCCACCCCTCACTTTTGGGACTAAGTCCGAATCGTTTCCATGGAAACCGGGAAAAATAAAAATGCCAAAAATCTGCAAATAGCAAAAGGCACAACTTTAGGATCTGTTTGATATATCTACCAAGTTTTGTTGAAAAATATTGAACGGTTCTTGAGTTATGCTCCGGAAACGAAGCCCACCCTTCTTTAAGACTAAGTCCAAAACGTTTCCATGGAAACCGAGAAAAATTAAAATGACAATTATCTGTAAATAGCAAAAGGCACCACCTTAGGTTATTTTTGACATATCTACCAATTTTGATTAAAAAATATCGAACGGTCTTTGAGTTATGATCCGGAAACAAAATGATTACGGACGGACGGACGGACGGACGGACGGACGGACGGACGGACAGACGGACGAGGCGACGACTATATCCCACCGCATTATATGCCGGTGGGATAATAAACCATATAATTTTTGCAGAGTTTTAATATTCGTTGCCATGCAACGACGTAGATATCAGTTTGTCTTCTTGCCTGACGGGATTATCCATCCCAGCTATTGCACTGTCAACCACTGATGTCTTAACCTATTAAAAAGTTAGTGAGGGTTTAACACGCAGACCCTTGGGTGGCTGCTTGAATATTTCAAGGTAAGCTGATACGGCTAATGTGAGAAATCCCATTTTTACACGTGTATACACGTGTATACATAGCTAAGTGCATGTCCGACATTAGCAATATTCAATGATTTGGAAATATTTAAGCAACGACACAAAGGCATGAGGTTTGAACACTGAAAAAAATAAAATAATAATAATAATACAAAACAACAACGTTTGTCAGCGCGCGTTGCCCGGAAAGCAATGTTAAGCAAGGTTTCCATGTGTACGTATTGTCTGTGTAACTGCGCGATGCGAAGTGCGTATTACGTGTGCGTAATGACTAATTCCACACGTACGTGTATAAAGGCTGTGTGATGCGTTAAAGCAAGTCTTTCTTTTCCTGGAGATCGTACTGATCACAAGGTTGTTTTCAGTGCCACCTTGTTTCTCAAAACGGAACTTTGCAACTGAACAGGATATGAAAATATATATATTCAAAATACCAGCCCTTTCGTGGTAGTCGTTTGTTTTCCTGATGTTTCCTTGTAATTGCGTTCCAAATATAGCTTATCTTTGTTACATCCTTGTGGTCCTTCCTGGATGAATTGTAGATGGCTGGAATGCATCTAACGAGTTCAACTAATTGTTCAAGAAGTATCTCGGGCACCGAATTCCTTGGCATTTAGCAACTTGTGTGTGCAATGAAAAGTACGTGACATTGGTGAAAACCCCTTGGGAATCCCTACTTCCGGGCTCCGTATAGCTGCGTGGTGCGTATTCGGACACTTTTTTGAGCGTCAGCAAAATCACGCACTACGCATCACGCGTGCATTGAAACGGCTATTACTATGTCAGTATAAAGTGTTTGATTACGCACTTCGCGCACATGCAAACCCGGCTTTAACCTAGGACAGCCGTAACGCTACGTGCCACTTGGTTATAGGGTCAGGTTCTAAAGGACGATCTCACTGCTGAGAAGATCGTAACATATACTGCTCACACTTTGTTGGGGATCACAAAACTTCACAACTATACTTAAACGAAGATTTATGATTTGAAATTGTATCCATTTAAAACTGGATTAATAATAATGTGGTACCCCACTTTAGGCAAACGGTCACTTTAATCTAACCTTATGCACTTGAGACCTGAGTACCTGGCACCATAAATATGGTTTTCCTGGCACCAATCAACCATTTTGCAAATCATGGAACGAAGAACACAACACCTGTCAATAGCAGGTATGGGTTCCACAAGATGAAATGACACACTGAAACCTTGGATCCATGCCTACAATAAGCTTAGATATTTAAACCAAATTTGACCCCACATCATAGTTTTCTGTTGAATCCATTATTTAATCCTTATCAAAGTGTGAATAGTATAGATTAAAATCACTTTGCTGAACGGACCCCCGTGAAGTGACTTATAAGGCACCAACCCGTGAAGATCCGGGCTAGAATTTGTCTTCAGCAATCCACGCTTTTGTAAGAGGCGACTAACGGGATTGGGTGGTCAGGCTCGCTGACTTGACACGATCGATGCATAGATCGATGCTCATGCTGTTAATCACTGGATTGTCTCCCCCAGACTCGATTATTGCCATATAGCTAGGATATTGCTGAGTGCGGTGTTAAACAACGACCAAACCTATAAGGCACCGCTATACGAGTACAACAGTCTACAAAGAGACCTCCGAGTTGCTTCATAGCCCGGGGGTGTGGTAACCTGCAATATCACACTGCCTATAAGAACTCCGACCCATCACTGAAAACATGAGTATACAGTAAGCCTGAAGACCAAGAACTTACGACAAACAAGGCCACTTTCGTAAAGCCGACAATGTATAAACTATAGATCATATTTGGGATTCAAACCAACAACCAATCAGTTGTGGGTGGTGCGGGAGGGTGCGGGGAGCTTCGGTTGCGGTCCATCTCCGCTCGGCTGTCAGGCGTGATGGGGGTCGGGGTGAGTGACATGGCACAGAAAGGGAATAGAAATGAACAATGTATAGTTAAAATTTTCGATTTTTAATTTTCTTGAAAAGGATCAAAGTTTTTTCTTCTAAAATAATAGATTATTGAAAACTACAAACAATATTTAGTCACATATTAGTGTGTGCGAGCGTGTGTGCGTTTTGTAATTCCTCAAAAATTACAGATCAGTGTAATGTGACATGCTATTATAAGAGGTCCGTTGGTAACCTGGGCACAGATCTCTAAATGTAACAGGTCTTTATCTGGAATTAAAAAACAAAACAAAAAAGGCAACCTGGTTTTGCCAAATATTAAGCGCGATTGTTTTCTTTGTCACACATACTGTCACAGTTCTGCTGATGTGTGGATCTTAATCTAAAGAACAAAACAACAAGAAAAGAGTAACTGAACTGGGAGTTTTATTGGAGAACCAAGCAGGTATAGCAGTTGTATTAATTGCCAAAGTAACACAATAACATCCTACCATACTCTGTATAGGGTGCTGGCAACAGCAGTAGTCATGCTGTCAAGTCTATAAGATAGGTACTTTGTTTTAATGTTTCTCACCAACCTCTTGATAACCATTTCTAACAAATTTTTCTGGGTGTAAACTAGGTTGCAACCTCCATACCAATATTCAGATGTCTTAAATAAAATGTTTGTCATCTTTATGTACAACCAACAGATGAGACATGTCTTCTTTAGTATCTGAGATGATGTGTTGAATAATTTAAGGTTTTTACTATGGATATTGTTCAAGACGTACAGTAAACAGTTCAGCATACTAGACAGGGTTGAACACTATCACCTTGAACAGTTCCGCATACCAGACACTGCTTAACACTGCCACTGAACAATTCAGCATACTAGACACTGTTGAACAATGGAACAGTGAACAGTTCTGCATACTGGACACTGTTGAACACTAACAGTGACTAGTTAAGCATACTAGACACTATTGAACAATGTAACAGTGAACAGTTCAGCATACTGGACACTGTTGAACATTAACAGTGACAAGTTCAGCATACTGGACACTGTTGAACAATGTAACAGTGAACAGTTCTGCATAGTAGACACTGTTGAACATTAACAGTGACAAGTTCAGCATACTGGACACTGTTGAACAATATAACAGTGAACAGTTCTGCATAGTAGACACTATTGAACAAAGTAACAGTGAACAGTTCAGCATACTGGACACTGTTGAACATTAACAGTGACTAGTTCAGCATACTAGACGCTGACCTGATCAGGAACTATAAAGTTCAGTACACTCATCACTGTTGATAATTATAACATTGTACAGCTGAGCCATTCAAAATCTGAGATACTTTGACAAAATCAACAGTCCAGCAATAAAGGAATGGGATAACAGAGTATTTCTTTTCTCTCCAATATTTCATATTGAGGCTTCTGTACAAAATGTAATTCCTCATAAAATAATTCAACAATTAACCTTAAAATGCTCCTCATTTTTAAGTAATTCTGCAAAGCTGTACATATCATACATGAAACTACCACAAAAACTGCAAGCTAGCAGATACTTCCATACTTCATATTCAGCCAGTGGTGAAATTGCAAAAGAATATAAAAAATAACCCATGTTGAACATCCAACTACCTGTGCATCAGTGAAATGCAGACAAAGGGAAATAACTCTTGCAGAATCAAAACTGAATCTATACATACCTTTTTACAGACACATCCATACAAATATGTAATAATTTACATATCAGAAAATGTTTAAAACAGAATGGATGTAATAACCATGGTGCTGCACAGGCAATAAAGAACCAAACAAACAATAGCCACCTGCTAACTGTCGAAGGCCTCTGAGAAAATAGTGGAAGGAAACAATAATAGTATAATAGTAAAAACCATAATAAATTCTGATCTCTGACAGCAGCCTTAGAAATTCATCCTTTTCAATCCAGTCCAGATGTGTAGCATAAACCTTGTTTCACTTGTCCTCAGTTTGCTGCTTGTCTGCATGCACTAGACGAAACATTTACCAGGTTTACAGTCCGTTTGGCTCAAAAGCGGACCGATGAATTGCAATCTAACTCAAAAAACTTATAAACATAAAATACTCAATGAAACACTGATCATAGGGAGGGAGGAGTGCAGAGAAAGGGACAGCCTGGTGTGCGAGAAAGGATGGAGACGGCACAGCACAGGTTAACGAATCAATAACTTTGTCGGCACTTGTGCAGGTGCTTCTCTAACACCTGGCTGTCCCTTTCTCTGCACTCCTCCCTCGTAACAAATGGTGAACTGTGTCAATATTTTAATGATAGTTTGTTAAACAACTTTTTTTAATTTTAGGACATAAATTCTGCAAACAAATCACAGAGTTGGTCTGATATTTTGATTATGATCAGCGTTTCATTGAGTATTATATGTTTATTAGTTTTTGAGTTAGATTGCAATTCATCGGTCCGATTTTGAACCAAACGCACTATACATGTTCTTCGTGGCATTCAATTCCAATTAGGATGCATTGAGAATTATAATGTGGACTAGTATCACTGGACATGACCTGAACCCAACAGCCTTAGACTAGCGAAAGTGAGTTAAATGGTTATAAATGCTGTTATAAACAATATCTCAGTTACATCACAGTGTGCCTGTGGGAGGAAAGCCCAAAAAACCTAGAAACATATTGGGGAGAATCAGAGAAAAAACACACTGACATTCGAAAGGAACAACTCAGAAAATGGAGGCAGCTTTAACAACTGGACCTTCTGTGTCACCAAGACAAATGTGAATTTTGAAGATTGCACTGATACAAATTGTACAGTAAGAATAGACTACAAGTCATAGGAATGCATTAGCATGAAACATAATAATGTAGAATTGAGTGATTTTTACTGACACCAGCCAATTGCAATGGTCATTTAATAAACTTTCAGGAAAAAAAGGGGGTGCATTGGATCCGCCTATGTGGATGTGTGTTTGTGAAGATCGGAAGTGACCATGACCTTGTATATAACATCCCATTCTTTGTTCTTTGAATACTTTTGCCAAATAAAACTCACTTAATTTCATTTGACAGCTATGAACCAACCAACAACTTTGAAGTTAAATCAATCAATGACGTCTGAAATATAATCTGTTAAGTCTTGCATTTGAAGATTATCAACTTTGGTCTGCCCGGCCAACATAATTGAGCGCTCTACATGAGAAGTCCAGGCCATGGACTTGAGTTCTGAGATTGTTGTTGTCCAGTTAGTTTCATGAACACAAGTAAGCATTATGCACAGCTGTTACATCTAAAACTCTGTACAACAAGAGGCTGATCTGAAACTTGCTTCCTGACCAGATGACATGCATCTTCACAAATGCAGGATATTCAAAACATTTACAATGTTCAAGGATCTGTACAATAAATTTAATATAGCTTCAAGAAAATATACATTAAATATTTGACACTGAAACAAGTAACGTTTCAACATATTAGAAATCTGAATGAACATTTCAGTTTCTTTGCGAAGTTTTCCATAGAAAGGAAAATTCAAAATAAGATCCAATGTAATCTCCTAAATATTGTGCAATGTTCCGAGAATTCTTAAGAAGGATGTTAAAGAAACAAGCTTTATCCTACAACTGTTGTATATTAAAGCCTACAGCAGGCGTCTCACAGTACTGGGAACAATCCAATGGCGCGGATGAAAGCAGAAACTGTCTCCTCTTACTCAAATAGCTACAATCTTCAGCTTGGGATGAAAAGACAACAGATATTCCTCTGTCAGTTTATCAGAGAATCTGCCAAGTAACTGTTGCTCTATGTCTTGAAGTGTGAAATGCACAAGAAAGCAATAGGTTGATACACAGCATCACCACGATGAGTCTGTCCAATGCTGTTAGATAGTCTTGGGAAACAAGCACTCTGATTGGCTATTCAAAGAGAGTCAAACTGGCCAATCACAGCCCACAAGAATCATTCAAAAATGCCCTCAACGGTACACAATTCACACAAGTGCTTTTCTCATTAGTCAAGGAAAAGTTGAAACTAGCCAATCAGCATTTAGATAGTGCAACAGATAAAGCTTCCTGCTGTTCTTGAGACAAAGCTCCCACGCAGGCCTGGAACACCTCCTCATTTGCCTGAAAAAAAAACAAGGAGTCAGCTCAACACTCGTACACCTCATTCACAAAATTCTAAAACTTTTAAATGTTTAAAGCAAGGATGTTGGCCCTTCTGAAGCAAGATTTTCAAACAATAGCTCATAAACCCTAAGATTACTTTACTCTGCTTGCCCAATTGTGTGAGACAATTTTCTGTTCCAGTGACCGGAAAATATCCTTGTCTTGTTTTAACAATGTGAATCATCCAATTGGGTGAGGTGAGGTGAAATTGGGTTTAACGTTGTGCTTGAGAATATTTCACTCATATGACGATGTGCATGCGTGTGTATGTGTATGTGCGGCTGCTTGTACTAGCCCAGACTTAAGCTGGTTTTATAGTGCTAGCCCACTGAGATACCATGCCGCAGTGAAGCATGAATACCCTCCGACACATTATACTGACTCCGAGCCGACCAGTCCTTGTTGTACCCATTAATGCCGAACGCCAGGCAGGGATCAACATGTACCATATTTTATCGTCTTTTGGTATGACGCGGTCAGGGATCGAACCCTCCGGTCATCCAATTGGGGCATATATATGATAATAATGTAGAGTATGATTAACACTGGCTTTTAATCCAATCAGGCAGACAAATAGTATTTTGTAACTCAGCTGAAATGAAAATATGCAAACTCAATGATCATAAATTTTCCTCCAATAGAGACATGGCCAAAGCCAGTATATTCTTGGGTTGTTTTCAGTGAAGAGCTCAAATTATTTGGGTTGAGAACTGAACTATGAAGGAACTAAAGGTGGTGTCACACTCAGCAATTATTTCATGCATGAATTAAATACAAACAGAAATATCCATGTCCTGGAAAAAATACATATGAGTGATTAAATTAAATTAATCTGTATGTTTGATTACTACATACAATACAGAGTACACCTAAACAGAAACAGAGTTCATGAGGATATTTTTGAATGAAAGCTGCCATTTAACAATTGGTAATACCTATAAGGATTTTTAGGGAATCAGGAGTCAAAATGTTTCTTGCTATCGGTCACTTGACACAAAACTTTTCTGTACCGCCATTATTTACTTGGGATCTATTTTTAATCAATATTCAGAAGTGTCCACACAAAACAACAGAATAAAGGTGTAGTAAGGTAGTTAAATATTCTTTCCTGCTCTCATGTCTCAGTCCTATCATTAAGCATCAATATATTCAGACAATATAGGCTCTATGATATATCATCACTGACCATGAAAGCACGGAATTCTATGTACAATCTATGAACTGGGAAAAGCTCAAGAAGCTTGTCTTTCACTAAAAACTATGCATACAGAGAAAAAGCCTTAACTCTTAGTCTGAAAAATCATTGCTTTTGTCAAAGCTACCATCTCTTTTAATCATCTATCAGTAATATTTTGATAAAATACATGTAACTGACAATAATTTTACTGTCTGTGAGTTGTGACCGAACCAACGAACCAGGTTAAGTCAGTTCTTCAGTTAAGACTTCTATTGCTGTCTGCTATCAACAGTGGAATGACTGCTACTTTTAATAGTACACAGAGCATGTGCCATCTACATTCAGAATACTGTTCACATATTTTCAAATACTTGCGCCACAGTGAGAAAATGGAGAGTACAGATGTTTTCAATGTTATATTTACATGCTCCCCGCCATACATGCAAGGCATTTAGAAAACTGATGATCTACAGTCATAAAATAACTGATTTTCAAAAAAGAGTTCTGATAAATCTTTAAGCTGATAAATCTTATCCTTAGACTGAAATCAATGAAAAGAACCTCTGATCTATTATCATTCTTTAGGAAATCACAAAAAAACATTTCTGTCCCAATTTGTCTAAAAAAGGACACCCATCCCTCTGCAATCACAGGAATCTGAAGTTTGGATTAAATAATGAAACATAACGCTTTTAAATCATGACGAGAGTTACCTTCACTTGATTGACAATCTGCAGCATTCTTCCAAAGACGGCATGTGAGGAGGCAACTACCTCTTTACATATTGACTCAGCAATGATTGCCACTATCCGCGGCAGGTTCTGGCTGTTCTCTCCCAATATGCCTGGATGGTTCCTGCACACACAGAAAATACTTCACTGTGTGTTCCCCTTAATCTCATAACACACTAGGGGTGTCATTGAAAGAAAATGTTAGCATTGATACATCAACACCAAAGCATCACAACAGAGTAAAAAAAGAATTGAACTAAGACTCTCTCTCCATCCATATGTGATCGAATGTGATGTCTGTAGCAGTAAACCTCGCTTCCCTGGGAACAATGGTGCTTCATGTACTGGAATGACACAGCAGTCCTGTTTTTGAGGGTCCCTGGTACTCATACCAGGGGGTCCCAGACACTTAAATATTATTATTAAAACTATGTTGTAATGTTGTTGTCATTGAGTTACTGTTATTGTAGTGTGTATCATGATCATCACATTGTTACAGTAATTACATTGCAAACCATAACCAAGCCAGTAGCAAACTCAGTGATAACTTATTGTAACTTATTTGGAATTTTTACAAAAGTATTTGGAATTTTTCTGCGTCCGTGTGGACGCGCTAATAAATTTTGTTGCGTCCATTGTCAAATTTTGTGGGTATAAGATGCAGGAATTCGTGTTCCATAAATCCCTGACACAGTAAATCAAAACTCATTTCAGCAGATATGGCAGAATTCCTGCAGAAAATGGAGGGCTTCACATACTAAACCCATTCCAAGAAACAATACAAATCAATCCATTCAAGTTACAGAATCAGATCACTGTAAAGAGTGAATGAGTGAGATGAGTTTTACGCCTCACTCAACAATATTCAAGCTATATATCAACAGTCTGTAAATAATCGAGTCTGGACCAAACAATCCAGTGATCAATAGCATGAGCATCGATTCTGATGAAATATGCCAACCAAGTCAGCGAGCCTGACCACCCGATCCTGTTAGTCGCCTCTTACGACAAGCATGGTTTATTGGAGATCAGTTCTAACCTGGATATTCACGGGTTGGTGCCTCACTGTAATGACCCGTTGACAATGTTCTATTATGACTAGTACAACCTTATGTACTTACAATGTGAGGAGGTCGCACATGTAGCCGTATATGTGAATCGCTTCATCCTCGTCCTCCGTCACGGGAAGCCAGAAGATGAATCGAGGGATCAGCTCATCCACATTCACTTTGGAAGCATTATATTTGCATATTTTAGTCACTGCCGATATGGCATTTTCTGTCGCGTTCACATTTGATGAGCATTTAGATTCGGGGTTCTCGATCATCTGTACTAGCCTTGGAATTGCCTCTGAAAAATGATACAGAAAAATGTCAAATACATATTGGACAATTTCATAATGGTCATTAATATAACTGCTTGACAATGTTGGGGACCATAGAGGTCATCCACATCATTGGGTGGTGGTGGTGGTGGAGGGACCCCCTAAATCTATATCTTATATCAAAAGGATTAAGACAGGTACCCCTGGACTTTCATTCTTCCTTTAGAACACTTTTGTTTTGTGGGATTTCATATATCTTCTGGCTTCACAGTGCATGGGTAAACCAACAGAATTCTTCCAGAGTTTCAATCCTTTGCAAGTGTCCTTCAATGAAATGTTTAGGATACAATTCCCATGTAAACCTCAAGGCCCAGAGGGTATTTACAGACTATTTACTTGCTCTACATAATAAAATAGGCAAAGCTCTTGTCATATACCAGGAATTAAACTTCCATAACCAGAAGGATATCCTTACAGCTCATATGTAATAAAGTATTATCACTTTCTACAGAAAGACACGTATCAGATGTTTTTACTACTTAACTGAAAACCACGAGTACATCAAATATACTGACAAACCAAGAACCATATCTGGGATTCGAACCCATGATCCACGGTTTCTTGGACTGACTGACTGACTGAGTTTAGTTTTACGCCGTTTTTAGCAATATTCTAGCAATATCACGGCGGGGGACACCAGAAATGGGCTTCACAAATTGTACCCATGTGGGGAATCGAACCCGGTCATTCAGCGTGACGAGCCAACGCTTTAACCACTAGGCTACCCCACCGCCCCCCCGGTTTCTTGGATGCCAAAGGAATGTTACAGAGCAAATTAATGCATCCAAGACAAATGGGCCACCTAAGTCTCTTGTGTGACTGAAAGTAGATATGTCTGTAGCCTATGCCCAAACCATGTCATTCCACTTTTCCTGACTTCTACTAGGGCATTATTTTCTCATATGGGTTGACTCCACCAGACCAAAAACCATTTTACTAGAAACAGGTTAGAAGTCACAGACTGTCCTTGGTAATGCTATCATTCAGATTCGGTATTTCTATTACTTTGCTCTCATGTCTCAGTCCTATCATTAAGCATCAATATATTCAGACAATATAGGCTCTATGATATATCATCACTGACAATGAAAGCATTTCAGTTGGCAATTACAAGAATCCTGTTATACCAGGAATCTGTTTGTGGACAACCAATAGATAAAGTCATCAGGAGAGGACATACCCTCCAGTCTGGTGGAATTTGGAGACTTACACCCTACTTTTTGTTCAATGCCATTAGATATCTTGAGTTCAGTGAAGAAAACATTAATTCTGTTCAGTATCTACCGATATCCTAAATCATCAAAAGCCACCAGTTTACCAATTGACTGATCTGTAGAGCAGTCCATAGTGTGAGGGTTTTGCTCAGGACTGACTGACTGACTGACTGACTGAGTTTGGTTTTACGCCGCTTTTAGCAATATTCCAGCTACATCACGGCGAGGGACACCAGAAATGGGCTTCACACAATGTACCCATGTGGGGATTCGAACCCGGATTTTGCTCAGGAAATGAGCGCTGTCCTAGTTTTCATCAACATATTACTTGTCCTCATGACAACTGCAGATATACACAAGAGAAAAACATCCCAAATCATCAAAAGGGAACAGTTCATCACTGCACTGATCTGCGTAGCAAGTTTCAGGAAAACAAACATTCAATGGTTAAGAATACTTCTCTGGAAACTGACAACAGATGGATGGATGGACAGACAGGCTGATTGCTCCATCATGCATTTTTCAAGCCAGAGGCATAAAAATGTAAATGTAATTACCGAATGTAATATGAAGGTAGAATTCTGACCATAGCTGCAGTTTTATGTTCTAGCTGTCTCAGTCCTATCATTAAGCATCAGTGTATTCAGACAATAAAGGCTCTATGATATATCATCACCGACAACAGAAGACTTCTACTGCATGTCAAAGGAAAGGTTGAAACTCGAATGGTAGACAAGTTCTAACTTAATACTACATCAGGAAGTATATGTTGTGGAGATTTCTGAATATAGGTTCCCCTGCTATGCCATTCATATCTCACATATCCTGTATTTTCAGAGTACCATAGCTTACTACAAAGGTGGTACAGAAAACAAGCTGACTCCTTTAGAAAGCTGACATCAGATTTGCTCTGTAAAGTATGCGTGATACATTTAGATTGGGCAATCAATTTTCACTCAGGTTTCAAGTGCCTATATATATATTCAAACAGAGAATGAGGGGAGGTGAAATTGGGTTTTACGTTGTGCTTGAGAATATTTTGCTCATATGACGACGCGCATGTGTGTGTAAATGTGTATGTGCGGCTGCTTGTACTAGCCCAGACTTAAGCTGGTTTTATAGTGCTAGCTCACTGAGATACCGCAGTAAGGCATGAATACCCCACTCAGACACATTATACTGACTCTGAGCCGACCAGTCCTTGTTGTACCCATTAATGCCGAGAGCCAGGCAGGGACCAACAAGTACCATATTTTAACGTCTTTTGGTATGACACGGTCGGGGATCGAACCCGCGACCTTCCGCTCTCCGAGAGGACGCTCTAACCACTACACCACGGAGGCGGTCTAAACAGAGAAAGAACCATATTGGACCAAAATATCTGGTCTCAAATGAAATTGTACTAAAACAGCTATTGCTAGTTTGGTGGATTCAAGTCTTGATGTCAGCAAAATAACAATGTATTATGTTTCAATGTTCATATGTCAAGTATTGATTGGGATTGCAGTCATTCTGTAATTTGTCAAGTATTGTTTTGTGATCTAAAACCACACTTTTCAAGATTGATTATGTGTGCTTTCAATGGTCTCAGTCCTATCATTAAGCATCAATATAGTCAGACAATATAGGCTCTATGATATATCATCACGGACATTGAAAGCATTTGAAGATTTGTTTCTCAAGAGTGATCACAGATCTATGATATTCCAGACATAGCAATACTAACAATGAAACTGTACCAACAAAAACATGAAACTACTGCAACAAATTGTTTAAGCACAATCTCCATCTAGTTGGCCATTACCAGCATCCTGATACACCAGGGACCTATTTGTGAAGAACCCAATACCAAACAGTCAGCAAGAGACTACACATCCCCCAGTCAGCAAGAGACTACACATCCCCCAGTCAGCAAGAGACTACACATCCCCTAGTCAGCAAGAGACTACACATCCCCCTGTCAGATGTAATTTGCAAAAGGAGTTTGGCTACTTATATCCCACTTTTGGTTCCATGCCACTGAATGAATACCTTCTGTTCAGTAAAGAAAAAATGATTACTGTTCAGTATTTTCAAACATTCCAAAACAAGACTGATCTGTTAAGCGTCCTTAGTTTGGGGGTGTTGCTCTGGAAACTCAAGCATTGTCCTAATTTTTTTTTAAAATAATACTTTGAAAAACTTCAGATATACATAAGATATACACAAGAAAAACTAATCCCAAACCATGTAAAGGCACCATTCATCACTTCACTGATCAGCATAGCAATTTTCCTAAACAAAAATGTTCAATGGTTTAAGACATGCTGGTTGCTACATGACTCAGTTTTCAAACCAGAGGAATGAAAATGAACCTGTAATTCCTGACTGTAGTTACCAGGCAAATGCTGAAATAAAACATTGCTGTAGTCTCAAGTTCTAGTTGTCTCAGTCCTATCATTAAGCATCAATATATTCAGACAATAAAGGCTCTATGATATATCATCAGCGACAACAGAAGAGTTCTACTGCATGTCAAAGGAAAGGTTGAAACTCAAATGGTAGACAACAGAACTCCAGATAAGATTTAGCTCATGTGGGTACTGTACCCACTGTATTTTTTTGGAGTGGGTATTATGAATGTTGAGTGGGTATTTCATTTTCCGTTACCCACTGCTTTCAAATATGTACGTATTTCAGTCATTTTATTCACCAAAGTATTATGTCATTGAGTAAGTTTACTTAACAGGTATGTTCTGCCTTACGTCATACCTAATCAAAACTAACTTAAATATAATGGAACTGATTTCATAAAAAATCACTCATCCTATACTGACAGTACAACACTTGTCCTATCCTAACAGTACAACTTGATAGCAATCGATGTCTTTTTCATTACGCAAGCGATTTTTATAAATATATTCCGTACGCATTTGTTTTAAACTTTTTGCGTATCTAACATTTTAAATGCATAATTGGTACGCAACAATTATTTTTCAACGCGTAATTGGAAATTTTCTATGCATATTTTACCCGGATACGCAGCTTATCTGGGCCTCTGAGACAGGTTCTAAATTAATACTTCATCAGGAAGTATATGTTGTGGAGATTTCTGAATATAGGTTCCTCTGCTATGCTATTCATATCTCACATATCCTGTTGTTTCGGGAGTACCATAGCTTACTACAAAGGTGGTACAGAAATGAAGATGACTCCTTTAGAATTCTGACGTGACTTGACCTGGGAACCATGCATGATACTTTTAGATTCGGCGGTCAAATTTCACTCAGGTTTCAACTTCCTATTTAGGTGTCTGTAAATATTCAAACAGAGAAGAACAAAATTGTCATTTGCATAAAAAGAAATCACTGTGTATTAAGTTTCACTGTTCAAATGTTGAGTATTGATTAGGTCTGTCACCATTCTGTAATTTGTCAGGCATTGTATTGTGCTCTAAAACAACACTTTTCAAGATTGATTATGTACACAGGCTTTCAATGGTCTCAGTCCTATCATTAAGCATCAATGTATTCAGACAATATTGGCTCTATGATATATCATCACCGACACTGAAAGCATTTGAAGGTATGTTTATTTTGAGTCATTTCATATCGATGATATTCAAGACATATCACAATAACAAATGGTTAATACCTGACCAAGAAATACATAAAACTACTGCAACAATAGGACTACAAGCGTAAGCACAATCTCCATTTCAGGTGGCAATTGTAAGAATCATCACATACCAGGAACCTATTTGTGGTCAACGC